TTAAACATAATTAAAAAAATGTGCCAATTTTTACTTTAATTATTTATTTAAGAGTACTTGACATTTCTATACAGTTACTAAACTTCTAAATGATTATTACAAAACATTTTATTTAAGGGTGATTCTCATATAAGTGTTCGTTTTGTGTCCCCAAGGTATTTTACATGTCCAATACTTATAAAAAAATGTATTACCAAGAAATTTCTAATAAGGAAACGTTATTCTTTCGATAAAAAATTAAAAGTTATAAAACAATTAGTTTTTGGGCTTAAAATATTTAAATAAACAGCAAATTCGTCATTTCGGTAACTGTCCCTGATTATATTTAATAATAAAGCTCTTATAAAACTTAACTTTAACCTATATATTCCATTAAATGCAATTTTTTTTTCAAAGCTACAAGTTTGATGTACAAGAATAATACGTTTGTATAAAAAAAATTTATGTAATACAGTCAATAAAATTGTTATTTGCATGTCCCGGCACAATACCGTCATTTCGCTAACGATATTGGACGGCACTGTAGCGCCATCTAAATGTGCACTACTGAAGTTAGTGACTTTAATAGTTTGTGTCGTAGTGTGTGTACTTTGTGCAAAAGAGGTAAGTTTTAGAATTAATTTGTTCACTTTTTTATAAAATTGATTGGTAATTCAATAACTGTTAACGTACCCTTAATGTCGATCAACTCGGTAACGCACAATTTTCTGTTTTATGACTTGGATACTATTTTAATGTTCAACATAATGATATGATGCGGCGTCAGTAACGTAACCTCAAATTTTTAGTTTGATGGTGGCAAATTTAAATGGGTTTTGTTTAGTTATAACTCAATTTCGTCATTTCGGTAACAATCATTCCGGTAACAAACGTTGTCGTTACCGAAATGATCATGCGTTACTGAAATGATGCCATCATGAAAATTAGTTAAAAGTTGTTATTAAACGCTTTAAAGCGTAAAATCTTTCAACTAGTTTTTGTATCTAAAAAACTTTCCACGAGGACAGAGTCATTTTGGAGAGCATTTTGGTTCTGCTTATTGGAAAAACAAGTGCATTTATTTTGATATTCTGAGACATTTTGGGGAATTTGTGTTCATTTTTATAGGGGTTTTAGTATATTCCAGTATACCTACTTTGAGATTTTTACTTGCTATTTTCTTTTTGATTTTATTAATAATCAGTTATTATTGGTACACAAGGGGTAATATAAAGTTTTGTTTTGACCCTTCTGTTCGACATGTAAATTATTTCATCTGATAGAAAAAATAATTTAAACCATAAAATTAAATGTGTACACGCCTATTTCTAGATAGAGTAAGACTTATGGATGTTAAGTACGAAAAATTGAAGAACCGTTTGAAAATAGATCGTGAAAAAGCAGCGCGAAGACGGGATGAAGAGAAAAAAGATGTCAGGGAAAAATACAGACAAATGAAAATGATAAATCTTCGGAACTAATGGAACTACTAAGAGCGAAGGAAGAAATAGAACAGAAGATTTAAAAAATTAAAGAATCTCAAAACCAAAATAACGAGAATGTCAACAATAGTTCAACTGTGGAGGATACTTATCATAAACTAATTTCCTTAAATACTAAACCCAAAAATACAAAAATTGAAGGGAAAAAAGAAGAGGAAGAAGAAGAGTGGAATGGAAGACTTTGCTTTATTTGCACCTTTGCCATAAACTCATCCAGGAATGGAATTAAATGCAAACATTGCATTCGAACCTTTCACGTGGAATGTATTTTGAGAAAACAAATAGGCACCATTTCCGATCCACCGAATTTTTGTTGCAAATCTTGTTTAAACAAATCGTTACAAAAAGTTTAATATGTTAATAAAAGTTTTTTACTAGCTTTGGAAATTCTTGATTCTTATTTATATTTATATTTCTTACTTGGTAATAAACCATCGTCATTTCGGTAATATTGTCATTTCTTTAATGTGGCAGTTTACCAGGACTAATTGAAAAATAAAATAATATGATCTTCTCTAAAAATTTTAAAATTATAGGGCATACATTAATATTTATGAAAAAAGGTAGCATTCTAAATACTATGGAACTTGGTAAGAAAAAAAGCAAACATTAGATTAAAAAAAGATAAAAATCAACAAATAATGTTAAATACAGCAAGTTATTTTCAATTCAAATAAAAATGAATGTATGTATTTATAATATTTAATAGTAGGGATATTTACCTTCAAAGTTTTTTACTTTTGATAAGAGAGCTGACAAGAAAAATATTATTGAGTTACTAAATGTCTTCGTTACCGAAATGACGAAATTATCGTCTTTTCCATCCAAAAAGTTGTCTATATGCTAAACGCCTATTTATCTTGCGTGCCCAAATCAAAAATAAATATATCAAGGGCACCTGATCATTAAAAAATTAAAACTTAACCCTTTTTACAAAATTATTTTTTTGCTAGTCGCTCGTCGAAATCGGACACTTATATGATATATACCCTTAAGGTATTCATTATATACAGTGTTTTTTGAAAACAATGAGAATATTTAGAATTATTTTTGGTTTCTGACATGATTGTCAAAAAGGCGTATACATTATTTTTATTTTAGTTTACGTAATGTACAAAAGATTACTTTAGGATTTCAAACGATAACATTTTCTATACAATGATTTTGTTTGTCATTGTTTCACTAACTATAGTATACTTAGATCATATACTTAGGGATTAGCACTCCCTCTTTTTTTTAAATCTTTGTCAGTAGAAGAGGCGACATTTTTTTGTTTATTCTACGACTATAAATATAAAAAATGGTACAATAAAAGTTCAGTGATTATTTAGTTTTTGTTTGGAAATGTACAAGAACATAAGAATATAAATTTATTTTATTAAATGATACATGAACTATTTTTTTTCGTTTTGAGTTTTCCTATACTATTATAATAAAATGTATGCCCAAATCAGTCTTAACAAACTAAAATTTAACATATATAGAATCCTTGTATATTTTTAAACCAAAATTCAACAAGGACAAAAAAATTATATATATTTTGGGGCATCATAAATGATATGCTCACATTAAATTGGACGTTTTGTTATACACTAACCGGCAAAAGTATGAAACACATTCATTAAAAAATTCGTCTTTTTTTCTCAAAAAATAGTTATTTATGTATCATAGCAGTAAAGTCGTATTCATAAAAATTTAAATATAGGTTGCTTTACGGCTCAGAAGAGAAAATATTCCTAGGGGATAATAAGAATTTTTATAAAAGAAATTAAAATTTTTTTGTGAACGTAAATGTTGTCAAATGGTAAATAATGTGAAAATAATGTGTGATGTAATATTTATTAAACCAAATTCGTTTCTTTTTTAATCAAAAAATGCCCATAAGGCGATGCACTTTTTCTTCCATTGTGGCATTTGGCATAATTTCATCAAAATGAAGTTTTGCCCTCAAAAGGGCTTTTACATTCGAATTCGTTGCTATTATTTTTGGCATAATAATTATTATCTTTTTATTTATAATTGACAAGTAAATTATCAATAATAAATATTATTGTCAATTTGACAGTGTCAAAGTATTTAATTAAATTCCTTAGCAGAAGTACCATTTTTAAATACTAAAAATACTAAGTCAAACTGGCATAAGCCACCAACCCAACAAAAAAACACGAGTCCAGATAAAATTTAATATGCACCTCGGCATTAAAGTACTACTTTTTTTATATGAGTTTACTCATCCAAGCACCACCGAAACCAAATTAATTGCATTTTTAACTACGAATTTTGACAACTCAACTTGACAACTGCACAATGTAACCTACAATAATTTATACATAACCACAATTAGATTTATTACTAGCTTAGTTTGTTTTAATCAATGCGACCAACTTGACAACTGTATTTACCAACCAAAACCCTAAATTTGCAACGTTGCCGCAGTCCAGATAAAAAAATGAACTTTAATAATTAATATTGACGAGAAGTTAATTAACCCAGGGAACACCCACTGTTGCCACGTTTCTCCGCGTCATCTGTCAAACAAAACTATTAAAACCATAAAACCAAACCAACCCAAACTCAACAACACAACCCAACCGACCCCGCCCCGTTGGGCCCCCCCCGCCCCATTGAGCAAAAAACCCAACTAAAATGGGTAAATTTATGTTACGATAAAAATAAAACACTTTTTAACAAAGGAACAACAAATTTATGAAAAAAAAAAAGTTCGACAACTTCTAGTAGATTTTATGTTACGATAACACTAAAACAAACCAACCAACCCAACCCAACCGAACACTGTTTAACAAAGAAACAACAAATTTATGAAATAAAAAAATAAAAAAAGTTCGACAGCTTCTTAGTATCGAACCCGGGACCTCTCGCATGCCAAGCGACCGCCCTACCATCTGAGCTATCTAGGTTGATGTCAAATGTTAAACGCTCGGGTAACAAAAACGGATTATAATTATGACGTAACAAATTTACACAGTACAGGCATCATAGATAATAATAATACTAATAACATTTCGTATAAGAAATTAGGTTACAGATTTGTTTACGTTTAATAGTTTTGTTTGACAGATGACGCGGAGAAACGTGGCAACAGTGGGTGTTCCCTGGGTTAATTAGCTTCTCGTTTAATATTGATGATTAAATCAAATGTCATTTGAATGTAGGAAGTGTAAAGTTCTACTTTACTGCCGATTGTTGACTACTTTACTGCCGATTTCGGATAAAATATATTTTTATTAATAAACGGCAGCTGACGTCATAGATTCTACATAAATGGCGGCAAATATGAAAATTTTACATTTAAATGCAAAATTGACGCGATTAAGGAATTTTTTGGAAAAAAAGGCAATTTTTTTAATAAATTTGTTACATACTTTTGCAGGTTACTGTATTTCCTAAATAATTTATAGTTAAAGCGTTTCTAACATTAGAATAACTATCGAAAACTATTTAACAACTGAAAAGTTCATTTTACGAATTTTCCGCCAACTGTATGGTAATTTTATTAACTTACGTCGCACTGCTTGTGAATAATACTGAGTTTTTGTAGTATGCTCCTCTTTCTTGGAGGGGGGATTTCACGTCACGTTCCACGTGTTGTTGGCGAGATTTGCGCTCCAGTTCCAGTTCTTGAGCTAGGGAATCTGAAAAAAAAATAACAGGTTTGTCAATGATTTCATTTCAGGAAATATTGCAAAAACTAAAAGTAAAGGGGTTTTACGCGATTGTATCAGTACACTGTTCAAAATTTCATGACCATTTTAACACCAAATTAACACCATATATGATCTATATCGATACAAACCAAAATGGTGTTAAATAGGGTTCGTTGGTCCGGTGTAAATTAAAATACTAAAATGGTGTTAATTTAACATTCACACAGTATTAAAATAAATTTTACCTGGTGTAAATTGAACTCCTTTTCAGTGTTAAATATTATGTGGTCAAATAAAATCATACTACACAGAAAAAAGGGAAAAAAAAAGGAAACAGGAAGTTCCTTGACGCATTACTAGTATATTACCAGCGGTATTATTCCAGAAAATGGAACCTTCAACTCGCTAGAGATAATGTTTTTAGTTCGTTCCACTAACTTAAAATACTTCAAGTATTGACAGCTGCAGCATGTTTCCACCTACATATTTAAGGTCTAGTATCGAACAACTTGTAGTGTCACACCAAAGCAAAGGACTACCTGAGCTTATATATTCTTCATGTAAGTCAACAGAGGCGAGATTTAAGAACATCACGTGATCCACAAAAAATAAATACTTATAGGTCAACTAAATTAGTATAGTTAAATGAACTATTCCTTTTTTTCTGTGTAGGTGCACTTCTCAAATATTTTTAGATAAACACCGTTTTGGTGTTTATTCTCAACCATAATTCATGCACGGAGAGAAAAATTTTGCCAAAATAACCATCCAACGTATTGTTAAATGACGTATCGTGAATTTAGTCAACTGTTTTATTAAACTGAGGATCTGTATAGCTAATTTAGCCATACAAATCCTCAGTTTAATAAAACAGTTGACTAAATTCTCGATACGTCATTTAACAATACTTTGGATAGTTATTTTAGCAAAATTTTTCTCTCCGTGTGGTGTTATATTAACACCACTTGGTGTTGGATTTTGACACCATTTTAGGATTACTTTTTACACCACAGATATTTTAAACAGTGTATGAGAATATACCGTAGTAAAGTCAAGAAGGGTACATAGCATAGCATAGCATGGCAGAGAGAGAGTTAGTTTGCTCGGCAATTAATAGACAGACACAAAGTTCGGTAGATTGCAAAGACGCGGGTCTTCCATCTATAATAATCCCGCGCTAATTCAATTGGAATCCTTCCTGGGCCCGGGCACGCAACAATGAAAGTTTTGGGGGGGCAAGACGGCGCAGAGGGGGCGGGTAATGGGTCCCAAGACGGCGGCGGCGGACTTAGGCCGGACCCGTGGACACCCCGGCACAATATCAAACTAATTACCTATTCATTAAGGATTAAAGTGCCAAGTCGGTCTTGAATTATTCCGTGGGTCCCGGAGGCCAAGTTTCCGGAAGCGAGGTAAGACGCAGCCGGAAGCCCGGTTAATGGATGCGCAACTTACCTCCGTGTACGTGTGTACGTATGGCCGGGCTTGATCCTGTGTGCTCGAGGAGCAACTACGAGACAGACTGTATTAGGATTGATTGCAGGATCATTATGCAACTTCAAAGGATTCGCAGGACAATCGGCCAACTTGCTAACATTATCCTTTGATTAAAACCCAACAACACACGTCCAACTTGCTTACCTACCCTAAGCCATTATCTACGAAAAACTTTTCACAACTTATACAATAGATTGAATATTTTCGCGAGGCAAAGTCTCTTTTTCTACTTCCACCTTTATAACGCCGATTATCGTAAATGTTTCTATGACAAGTTGTGGCTTCATGGCGCTTTAGTCACGGGCTGAAGTATTAATTTAGTTGACAGTTGTCAAATGTCATACAATCGTTAAAATAAAGTGTCTTTCTTGTAAAATAATATTAAATGTGAATAGTATATTCTGTAACAAGTTTGGAATATGCAATTCCAAATGTGTTTCAGACTATACTTTTTCTACGTTTCCAAAAAATACCATAGAAAAATAATTTAATTGAAAGAAAGTGAGGTTGGATCGGTCTAAAATTTGTTAGATATTAAAAACAGAGATGTCGCCACGAGTGTTTATTCTGACATCCGATGATAGAATGTTTTATTCTTAAAAAAATTATTTTATTATCCCAATAAAAAAATACTATAAATAGAAAAGATTATATGAACGTTTGTATGTATTGACCTTTTGATTTCGCCGTAGTAGTGCAATTAACTGGATTTAACTGATAAATAAGAACCGGATTTTAGGTAAACCACCTTTTGTTGGGTTTTTAGGGTTTAAAGATATTTTTTTTATTTGTCCATTTTATAAAAAATGGAGTTATTTGACTAAGTTATATATGTTTTTTATCTATTTTACTTTTCGAGCCTAAATTGTTGAATACTCACTTTTTCATGTAGCGATTTCTTTGCACTAATTTATTTAGTGGAAATTACACTGTACAAATTAGTGAAATAGGTTTAAAAAAAGTTAAAATTTCACTATTTTATGTCGAGAGTTCCGGAAAAGTAGTGGTAATAAAAAGCACTAATTTGGAGAAGTTAAAATTTCACTAATTTATATTGAAAAACACTAATTTTACAGTGAATAATAACTCACTGACGGAAATAGTGAAAATTTCACTGTTTCACTTTTAGAGAGTGCTCTTAATATAATATGTATAATACGTTAATAATAATAATTATATATTTTTTTGCTATTTTACATTATTTGTAGTTAGGGCTGGGCGATTATCGAAATACAGAATCGATTATTGATTATTCGATTAAATTATTAATTGTCTTGTTTTTTTATTAATTATGACCTAAATTATGCATGCAATGCAAATTTAAAAGCCTAAATCATAAAAATGCGCTTTCTGAAAAAATCACTCTTTTTAATTTCTTTTTCTACTCCTATTATTTACATTATTTGGTTTTTTTCCATAAATAATGGTAACCAATACAACCGCCCGGCCTAACAACGTTAATAATGAACTAACAACGTTAATAATGAAGTCAACTGATTTCAATATTCACTGTTATTTGACCAATCGGGTTTTAAATTGGGAAAAAGTAAGGTTAACAGATGTCAGATTTGTTTATATATACGAGGGGCGACTATAATGATCTTTAAAATCTGGAAAAAGGTTAAGGTTATGATAAATTTTTTTATCAATGAAAATTACTTAATTGGAGAAGAAAAAGCATAGTATTACACTCGAAAAAATGCGCATTATTTACTAGGATGAATTACGTCACTTGCCTGACGGCTCTAGACGCAAACCTCATTATCTCTCGTATAATAATATACTATTAATATAATAATAATATTATTTCTATTTATATAATGGTAAATTCAGTGGTGTTTTTTTGCTGAAATTCTCTCATTAAATGCATTGAGATATTTTGTTTATTTGGGTTTTCTTCTGGTTGGCTATTGTTATTACAAGAGCTTTTTTGCTTACGTCACTGGTGAGAACCAAATTGCCATGGGCAAAACAGTCGACCAATTTTTTTCGGCCGCAATAGTCCACGACATTATATTGTAACATTGTAATAATTAAAAACAATATGGTCGTTTTGCAGAGAACAAATCATATGCTTTAGTATTCACATGGATGATTACAAAGCAACCATCATCTCAACGGTGCAAAATTCCTTTCATTAAAGCCTCTAATGGCACATTCAATAACGAAGGATTTAGAACAATTACAAACAATTTAGACGAGTAGAAGAAGGTATACCTCACATACAGGCTGCTTGAAATAATAGTTTACACGTGTTATTTTCGATGCGAGCCGACCGTCATTATTGCTTTGTTACGGCTTTTTTTATACACGGCAAGCATAGATGTATGGGTGGATAGGTATAATGCACGGTAAAAATAAAGCGAAGCGAATTATTATCTTAAATAGCATCGCTTGGAGATGCTTGTATAAACTGCCACACAAAAGTTTTTGCTAAGTGAATAAGAAATAATTATAAGAAAAATTGTCCCGAAAAGTAAGGTACAAAAATATATTTTACTTCATTTTAGCTTGTCATCATTTTAACTTTATCATTATAGCTTGTTAGCATGTTAACTTGTCGTTTTAGCTTGTCCTTATTTTAGCTGTCATCATTTAAAATTTAGCTTTTTATCATTTTTGTTAGCCAGTCAGTTTATGATTAATTTTACCTTATTTTAGCTTGTCATCATTTTAATATGGAATCATTTTAGATTGTCATTATTCTATTTTGTCGTTATTTGGGCTTGTCATCATTTTAACATGTTAACTCGTCGTTTTAGCTTGTCCTTATTTTTTCTGTCATCTTTTAAAAAAATTTAATTTTAACTTGTTATCATTTTCGTTTGTTAGTCAGTTTATCATTAATTTTACTTCATTTTAGCTTTTCATCATGCCAGTCAGCCTTGTCATCATGTTAAGATGTGGCTTGTCGTCATTGTAAGATGTGGTCATTTTAGCTTGTTATCATTTTCGTTTGCCAATCAGTTTATCATTAATTTTAGTATATTTCAGCTTGTCATTCTTTAATTATGTCAACATTTGGAATTGTCCATTTTAACTTGTTTTTTAAATTTAGCATGTTATCATTTTCGTTTGCCAGCCAGCCCTAAATTTTACTTCATTTTAGCTTGTCATCATTTTAATATGGAATCATTTTAGATTGTCATTATTCTATTTTGTCGTCATTTGGTGTTGTCATCATTTTAACTTGTCATTATAGCTTGTTAACATGTTAACTCGTCGTCTTAGCTTGTCCTTATACTTGTTATCATTTTCGTTTGTTAGTCAGTTTATTATTAATTTTACTTCATTTTAGCTTTTCATCATGTTAATATGTAGCCATTTTAGCTTGTCATCATTTTAAGATGTAGACATTTTAGCTTGTCATTTTTTAATAGGTCGTCATTTAGGCTTGTCATCATTTTAACCTATTGTTATAGCTTATTAACATGGTAACTTGTCGTTTTAGCTTGTCCTTATTTTAGCTGTCATCCTTTAAAATTTTGTAA